GGAGTAGGTACGTTCCACAAGGTCTAATTGACCAAGTTGTGAAAACAAGGTCGAACCAACACTAAAACACCAAGGTTCGCATTTTGGAGTATGAGATTAGCGAATACTAACCATTTGACTGAAGAGTTGAAGCGGCTGAAAGTTTTTTTTCTTAAAAATAATTATAACTTGGGCCTAATTCCTAATAATATCTCTTTACTGAGGAATAAATTTTCAGACGGAGACTGGTCAATCTAGGATACACAAGCTGAGATCTTTTATCATGCCCTAATTATGCCGTCATGCCTTTTTCCTAAAAAAGATAGGCCAACTACTGATAAAGTATGGGATAAAAACAGTGTTCAAAGAAACCCTAACACTTTCTTCAGTCATTCCATTTTTTAGAGAGAAATGTGACATTGTCGAGATACGGCTGATACAACATTCTGTACTCCTGTGGTTATCATTTGACAGACGTCAGAGCGCAAACCATATTGTAGTCATTACAATTTAAGGAATATTTTTTCCTGATGCAATCTACAAATATCAGTTAGAAATTAGGTGACATACTTATGAAAGGCTATGCTATTACAACCTAACAAGTATGAATAAGCTAACTCTTTGGAGATGTAGCAGAATAGCACTGTTGTTAATTCGGCTTAAAAATGCATACATACATAGATAGACGGGCGGGCATATCAAAGATGTAAGTTCGAATAGTTTGGCGTTTTTTATTTGAAATTATAGTGGGTATGGTGTCCAGCTCTAAATAACTTATTCACAAGGAGTAAAGCTAAGCATATTTCACCTGATTTAAGGTCTTGTCTAGCGAGTTCTTAACCTAAATCAAAAATAAGTTAATTAAAGATATGAAGACCAAGATGGTGCGGCCTTTTGTGTGGTCGCAGTCTCCTTTCAATGTATAGAAGTTGTTTGACCTTGTTTTCGCAACTTGGTCATATTGGTAGGAAGAGATAGAAGAACGCAACTTGTCCTGAGTCCATTGTATGTATAATCATTTCCAAAGTTGAACCGTGGACGTGGTACATTCCCAGACCTTTCGCCGGCATCGTCAGTGAGTTTTACTATTCGTTGCACCATATTACAACTCGTGAAAGAGACAAATGAAGCCGATCCTTCGACCAAACGTGTGCCAAACAGTTATAATATCTCCCATTCTGCCTTGGCCTATTCACATTTCCTATATCCTCCAATCACGCCTTCACTGTCACAATTTTTTACTTGGTTAATTAAATGTGGCACGGTGTGCTCTTTTTAGCGGATTTCATGAGAACCCTCCGCACTCCACGCTGGACTTCTCACCCCCCCCCCTTCATCCTTGTGCTGTGAATGTGGATCAGATTCTGCCATATTGATGTTACGCATTCCTTCTTCCCTAGGTCTTACCACAGTCTCTCTCTTGCCCCGTAAGATCCGTCTGCCCTCTCCCTGGTTCACATATTTTACTCGACCCCTGCCACCCCATCTGGGCCAACTTGAGGCGTTATTGGCCCTATCCTGCCTCTGGATGACTAATTCGAGGCTCAAACCTCTGAGTAAGTGCCATGGTCACGCCTTTGCCACATGGACCACGTCTCTTATACAAACTACTGTCAACCCACTAGCTCCCATCGCTTCCGCGTCTATCCTGTTTCTATCTCTAATACAAAGCCTATGACTTTCCATGCCATAGTTTCTTGCGTGCCAACCCACAAACGTTGTGGTTCAACATTAAACCTAACCAAAGCAAACAGTACCACAACATTTGTGGGTAGGCACACAAGAGTGTAGGGCATGAGAAGTCATAGACTTAGTATTAGAGATAGAAAAAGGATAAACGCGGCGGCGATGGGAGCTAGTGGGCTGACAGTAGGTTGTTTTAAGAAACATCGTCCATGTGGCAAAGTCCTTACAATGAGATTTACGCATAGGCTTTAACCTCGAATTAGTCACTCAGACGCAGCGGAGGGCGAATAACGCCTCGAGTGGCACAGATGGAGGGGGGGCAGGGGTCGAGTGAAATATGTGAACCAGGGAGAGGGCAGACGGATCTTACGGGGCAAGAGAGAGATTCTGATAGGACCTAGGGAAGGAGGACGACGTAACAATATGGCAGACTGATCAACATTCCCAGCACAAGGATGATGGGGAGTGATAAGACCAACATGGAGTGCGAACGGTTCTCATGAAGGCCACTCAAAAGGCCATACCGTACCACATTTAATAAAGCAAGTAAAAAAATGTGACAGTGAAGGCGTGATAGGAGGATATAGGCAATGTAAATAGGCCAGGGCAGAAGGGAGATATTATTAACACTGTTAAGCACACGTTTGGTCAAAGGATCGGCTTCACTTGTCTCTTTGACGAGTTGTAATATGGTGCTACGAATGGCGAGACTCACCGACGATGCCGGCGAAACATCTGGGAATGTACCACGTCCACGGCCTTACTGTGGAAATGATGATGCATAGAATAGACTTCGGACTAGGTTTGTTACTCTCAGTTTTCCTACTAATATGACCAAGTTGCGAAAACAATGTCAAATAACTTCTATAAGTTAATTAAGCTGAATTTACAAATCCCCATCACTTTATACAAATGCATATCAGCCCAACATAGTCTTAGTGTGGTGATCGGGTATTGGCTAAGACACAACATGCACGTTGATCTAGCCATTTTCATGTTCATCGGATTTATATATTTTATCCTCGATTTTTATATCACCCAGCCACCCGACCTCGATGGATTTGATGTTAATGGGCCTGGAAATGCCTCTGGAGCGCTTAGTCAAATAGACGAAATTGCTGCAGGAACTGCTCTACCAGATCCATCTGTGAGCACCGCCAATGTAAATAGCAGTGTTAGCGCCAGTCTATCATCTCCCGCATGTCTTCTACCGCCTGCCCTTATCGATCATACTGTGCATCTCACAGCCCCTTCATCCGTTGGCTACGTTAGTGCGTCCAAGGTAACGGATATCTGCACTAGTGGACTACCCTCCCGAGGACACCAGCAACTACAATCTGCTATACTTACTTTTGAAACAACCTGGGCGCGCGCAAAATCCATTTGGGAGCAGGTAGTGCTATGTACAGAGGCATGTGAAAGCAAGGCCCGCGCCGCTTACTTAGAGTGGGCAAGCTCTGGGTTTCGTTACACATCTAGCTCCTTTTGATTGTATCTATGCCTCATGTCTAGCTTCGGCTAACAAGAGCTGAATAATTCAATTGTTTTTTTCACAATTATGGGTCTGTTGCATACATACTTTCAGACATCATTGACTCGGAAGATGCACTACTAATGAGGAGTCAAGTTAGAATTTAACTTTTTGACTGGATCACTGTGTATCATATGTATTTATATTTTCCATTAAGGCGACCTCGGTTTTATTATTTTCATTTTATTCCTACTTACTTGACCATTTTATCGTTGCTTCCACAAATCTAAATTGAGACCGACTGAGGCCACTACCAACTTAATAAAATACTCTTTTATGGCCTTTGGTATGGTTGCAGTCTTTTAATTGTATAAATTTGGGTTGACCTCTTTTTAGCAACTTGGTCTGGGTGACCGAGACGTATAACATGCTAAACCATGCGTCCTTTGCGATAATAGTTATAATAATTTCCAGCGTCAGGCCGTTGACCCTGCATATGCCCAAACGATTCGCCGGCATTGCCCGTGCGGGGCGCCATCCTTAGCATAGTTTAATGAAAAGGCCTTAACTAAATTTCTGTTCACCTGTCGAGACACCTCTTCTTTATCTTATCCCATCGCCTAACGCTCTATCCTAGTTACTTAACTCCATTTAATATTGACATATTAACTAGTTATGCCTACCTATGTTAGACTTTATTCAAATTCCGTCAAGAATGTGTCAAAATGGATTTAATGAGGCAGGATTACTTCTGCCGCCGGTTTCGCATATCATCCGGAGTGCTTTCTGATCACAATTGGCGCTTTTACCTGGTCTCTCACTTCACCAAGTTTCTATCAGCCCTTCCCTGCTACATTTGAATATTACTAACTAACTTATCTAACTTGTGGACTATACTTCGTCAATTTAGGCCAGCTTATCCGATTTATCCACATGAAAATATGATAAAACGTCTAATAAAGCTTCACGGAAAACGACCTCCCAAATCGTAATTCATGCACTCGTTGCGCTTATTAAGTTCCAATGGTCTCGGAAACCAGTGGAGTATCTTCGAGCTCAAACTACATTCCTTCATATTTTAGGGGCCCTGTTCTTGGCTCTATTTCGCTAAGTATAACGCTTCTTCCCTCTCACCCTATCAGTCTTACGATTTCGGTAGAACCAAATCTTGACGCTTAAACACACTCAGTTCGGCGTACTTGTATAGGTTTAGAATACCTTTGTCGATCCGACCAAGTTACAAAAATGAACTCAGGCCACCTCTTGTCCTCCCTTGGTATCGCGCCATGTTGTCCCACCAATCCCCTTTGTGGTTATCTATTTGCGAAACTCCTTCGTGCCGCTTCAACGAACAGTTGCGCAAGTGAAGCTTGCATGGAATCGAGTATGCTGGACCAGAATGCGTCATTCTATCTCAGTCTATTAACGCGACAAAGATTATAAAAGTTGTTTGACCTTGTTTTCGCAACTTGGTCATATTGGTAGGAAGACTGCGACCACAAAAAAGACCACACCATCTTGGTCTTCATACTTTCAAAGATTATAAAGTTAATTAGATTTAGAAAGTGTGGCCTGTTTGGTCGCAATATGCTTTAGCTTAATAGTGCCGGTTCGACATCGATTTCGATACTTGGTCGGAGCGTTAGGCCGTCTTTGTTGAGCGTACCTAGCCCTGTGTCCTACGCCATAGTATTCGTAATTTTCACTATCGGACCATTGACTTGACACACCCTCAAACGTTCCGCCGGCATCGTCAGAACAGAGTTACAAATTACCAGCGAGAAGCGAAGGCAATACCTAGGCTAATTTTTTGCTCAACCGCTGTGGAATCACTCCTTACCCCTATTTTTTTGTTCTACATTCTAGTGCTGCACCTCCCTCTCACCCCCACTTCATATCGCCCATCTACCTATTCACAGAATTCTGTGCTATCGTTTCCTACAATATCTGCTACAAGTGGGCGTAGTGAAGGGTAATCATCTCCACCACCCGTTCCAGAATCCATTTGCAGGAAGTTTGACCTTCATTCTGCCCCATTTCTCCTACTCTGGTTCTCAATCAGTCGCTGCTAAACATCAAAATCACCGTCTGTCTGAAATTTGCCTAACTAAAAGCCCTCAATTTTCGTCCGCAATTACGCCATATTCGAGGATTTAGAGCATATGGTGCTCATGTCCAATGGCTGAGAATCTTCCGCCTTGTGGAGCGAACCCATTTCGGTGTCCTTTGCCAAAGTATTCTTGATTTCCACTATCAGACCATTGACTTGGTGTGTTTCTAAACGTTTCGCTGGCATCTTCAGTGAGAGGTGCCGTCGCCAGTACAGTTGCAACTTATCAAAGTGACAAGTGAGAGCAATCCCCCCGATCAATTTTTTTAAACCGTTGTGGCACCAGTTCCCGTCCATTTTTTTTGTTCTAGCTTGCAGCACTGCGTCTCTTTCTCTCAATCCCATTTCATATGACCCATCTATCTATTCACACAATTCTGTACCCTCTAATGTCGCCAAGTAGGCTTAGTGAAGCGTAATCTCCACCAATTATACCAGATGCCGCTTGCAAGGCTCCCGACTTTAATTCTTCTCCCTTTTCCCCTACCACAGCTAAACATCAAAATCACTGTCTGGCTGCCTAAGAATCTTCAATTCCCGTCCCCGACTACACCTTATTCGACGATTAGTATCAGATGATGCCTGGGAGTGCTCCTCTCCCTAGGCTTAAAACCCATGACTCCGTATCCTCTCTTTCATTCCTACTAAGCTCATCTCATTCTTTGGGGCCCTGCGTCCGGCTGTGTGATGATGCACTGCTCACCTTTTTCTCCCCGAATCGCAAAAAGCGCACTACTGCTGTCTCTCGAGTTGACACTCTCATCTAATCCTAAGGTACTAGGATGTTTATGTGTATGTTGCCTGGTAATTCCCGTGATCAAGCATGTCACCAACCGCCTTCCATTAGGGCGACCAAACAGAAGGCCACACCATCTTGGTCTTTATATGTATGATTTATGTATTACTTGCTGATAGAATGAACATTTAGTTCTTCCAATAACGGTGAACTTTGGTTAAACAATGGTCATGGGTATGGCTAATAGCTATTAATAGCTAATATTTATTTGAAGTTCTATATGGGATTAAGAACATTCGACGTCTTAAATACAATAATCTGGTTTAAATGCCAATGTGTAGACTTATACTCTTAATAAAGTGAAGTATAGAAATCTTAACCCCATGGCCAAATAATAAATATAAAGTAAGTCAAGAGTAATAAAAATCTGTCCGAATTTAAATCAGCAAATTGCCTGGCGAGAGAAAATACATTTACATCTACTAAATACATTTACTAAAATACATTTTCAAATAATATCAAATTGTGTTAAACGCAGATAGTTTCAATGCTTTTTTATTGCTTACGATCGCGGCAAAAACAGGGTATAATATCCCCCTTGGTCGAGGGTGGGAAATATTTTCATTTCAAATTCTCTAGGCTTTATTTGATAGACAGTTTTGCTGTAGCCACTTGAGGGAGATACTGGAGAGACAGGGCTCGTCTCAATTGTGCTGGCTGATGAGAGCATTAATTCAATTAGCTGCTGTGTAAAGTGAGAAATAACGATTTCCTTATTATGAATTGGTTCTGAGTTATTGGTAGAATCGAGTTTGCCTTCTTGAAGACTCGTAACAACACGAGCGGATGAAAGCAAAGGAATCGGTATCCATTCGCATTCCAATAACTCCTATATATGAAATAAAAGATGCGGCGCATTATCAATTTAGATAGTAAAATGTATATAGGCATGTGTATAGCAGGACCTGAAATGGGTAAAAAATATATACTAAATATACCTATACACACATATTTACCTGCTAAAAAGCTGTATTCTATGAAAGCTTTAAGCCTTTTAAGCAGTTCTTTATATAACCTAAATACTTAATTATATTTAGATACGAAGAGCAATTGGGTATTGACGAATCTATTGAGATAACAGTTGGAGGGGAATTGATTTCGTATGAAAATGCAAATAGGAAGTTCGTTGATTAAAATCATCCGAAGACGAACCATAATTCCTATTGTTTTATAGTTGTCTATGATGACTTAGTCTACGAGGCATCCCACTAGTTTTGGATAACACCGGGCTGAACATTCGTCCATCATATGACGGAAATCACCAGAGCTAGGAGTCATTTTTGACTTAATTTTTGCAAGAATGAGCTCCAAATCTAATGACGGACTAAAGCTCAGCCTGGTTTTAATCGAAATAAGGAAGGACGCCTTGCGGACTGCATCAACATGAGCGTCGTGTTAAGGCTAAACGGACCCAGAACATCGAAAACTGATCGCCGTTTCCCGTATCTTCATAATTCACTTTCATACGAAATGAAAGTTTATCCAACAATTGTAATTATAACAGACATTTTCGGCATAATCCACCTGAGCGATCTTATGTCCGGAAGTTCTCAGCTATATTTTCA